ATTTTAAGCAGTAAGTTTTCTTCATCAAACCTTTAGATCCGCTGCGCATAGGTTTATGTTGAATGTTTGTCTGTGATTTGTGCATATCGAGATCCTCGTGGATTCCAACAGGAGGCCCTTCGCCGACAACCTCACCAGCGTTGGCTTCTTGCAGGTATTCGCGGCGGTCTAGACGCGGTTCAGACAGATCGAAGCTCATCTCATCCGGTTCACTCTAGATCTAGGAGGTGACTCATCACATAGATTTCTGTCATTTTTTGTTTGTTATATTTAATTAATTATTTTATTTTTTAATATTTTCATGAAACATGGCAAAAGCTGACTGAATATTAATATTTTTTTAATTTAATTTTGTAATTTTATATTTTAATTTCTTATATAATTCATTGCATCTAAAATGGGTATATATCAATGTTTACATGATTTATGCTAAATAAATCAACTAAAGTGCATGATTTGTGGTGGAAGATTACTACACTTGATGAGTCTAAAATTATTGGAGGAAAAGAAAAAAAATGTTACAGATATAAATGCACGATTTTAGCTAAAACATTGATTAATATTATCATTAGACGGATTAGATGATGTGAGCAAAAAAAGCAAAAAAAAAATAATATTATAATATATTGATCTTCTCCTTTTCTTGGAGGCCACGGACGAGCAGGCTTTAATCCTTCAGCAAGTTCTTACTCACTTCTGCCGGCTATCGGGACTCAAAGTGAGTGCAAAAAGACGCTAGTATGTTTCTCTAATAACGTTAAGATTCAGGAACAACGTCGGTTAGCTGGTGTTCTTGAGTTCAACTGGACTGACAACATGGGCAAAAATCTCGGCATGTCTATGCTCCATAGTCGAGTGACACATAATATGTTCTCCCATCTTTTGGAAAAAACAGAGTCCCGCCTTGCAGGATGGCGTATGAAGCTGCTCTTAATGGCGGGACGAGTGACACTAACCCAGTCTGCTTTGAGCACTCTACCCTATTTTTCCATGCAGTCTATCATGCTACCTTGTACTATCACAGACGGCATGAGAAGAGATGTCATGCTTTCTTATGGGGAGGCTCAAACGTTCAGAAAAAGATGTATTTGGTTGCTTGGAGGGATGTAAGTAAGCCTAAGGATGAGGGAGGCTTGGGTATTAAGGATCCTCGTCGTATGAATAGTTCATTTCTGATGAAGCTCAGGTGGCTTATGTTGACGAAACCGAACTCTATATGGGTCTGCATTCAAACGGCGAAAAATACGGTTTGGACAAGTTGTCTAGGTTGGATGCACCGGGCTGTAGGCAAGGCTCGGTCCTGATACGTGGTATCAATAAAGTGTGGCCCGATGTGCTGCACGGGATTCGTGGGTCCTCGGCAATGGGGAAACGACCAGATTCTGGTTTGACCCATGGCTCGGCTCGGAGCTACCGTTGATCAGATACGCGCTTCGTCAGCCGCCAAACGGATGTCATTACATGTCGGTTGCCAACTTCGTGGATAACCTGGGTCGGTGGTCATGGGTTTATTTCCATGGAATCCTTCCTTTCGCTGTGATCTTACGTATAGCAAGCACGCTCCCCCCGAAATCAACGGCTGGCGAGGATCGTATTATTTGGAAATTCTCCACTGATGGTAGATTTTCCGTTTCCTCCACGTATAAGGCTCTATCTACTTCCGAAAAAGATCCCGACCTCAGCCTATGGAAATTGATTTGGCGATCGTCGGTACCACAGCGGATCCGAAGTTTTTTGTGGTTGACCGCCAAGGGTCGGCTCCTTACCAACTTAGAAAGGGTCCGACGGTATCTTTCCAGCTCGGCGGACTGTGATCTTTGCGGGGGGTGCAAATCGGTACTGCACGTCCTTCGCGATTGCCCAGCGGCCAAGAGCTTGTGGTCCCGGTTGCTTCCGACGGGTCTTGATCACGACTTTTTCCAATAGTCCCTCAAACTATGGCTCCGTACAAATTTAACGAGGCCACGGATGGGGAAGGATGGCAATTGGGAAATCCTCTTTGCATTTACTGCATTGGGTGTTTACCCAATGCACACCAACTTGCGCGGCGAAGAGTATGGAGGTCTTGAGCCTAGCCGAGCAGCATAGACGAGAAACAACGGTCTACGCCAAAGTTGGAGCTGCTAGCTATGAAACTCGCTTGATAACTTGGCATCCGCCGGATCCGGGGTGAATAAAGGTGAATACGGACGGTGCTTTTGATACTTCCACGGGCTTGAGCAGTGCAGGAGGTGTAATTCAAGACGAAGCGGGTAGATGGATCGTGGGTTTTCTCATGAATATTGGACAATGCACCATTATGAATGCCGAGCTTTGGGGTCTTCTTCAAGGCCTTCAGTTGGCTTGGTAGATGGGTTTTCGTAATGTCATTGCCGAGGTTGATAGCCAATGTGCGACAAATTGTGCTTGTCTCGGCGGATAATCTCGGTGCTCATGAGTCGTTTGTTAAGATTATTCGAAGCATGGTTCAATGGGATTGGCAAATTCACGTACAACACGTGCATAGAGAGGCTAATTTTGCCGCTGATCATTTGCCAGGCCTCGCATCTTCTTCTCCCCTCGGTTTGCACAAAGTGTCATTCCCTCCGGCAGGTGTGCGGCACTGGCTGAGCCACGCTAATATAGGGGTATTATATCCCCGTCGAGTTTGTATTTAGGTCTTTGACCTCCTTCTTCATACCGAAAAAAAAACTGAAAATAATATAATTAAATACTGAAAATTAAATAATATATTTAAATCCGAGATAATATAATTTAATGTTATGTTGCTATTTATATATAAATATAGAAAAAAACTTAAATAATTCACCCGACACATTTGGCTCCCCCACCCAATAAAGGGGGATAAAAGGTTAACAAAATAAATGAAAATGCTACCAAGTACCAAGAACATATGTCCACGAATATAATGTATAACTAGTAGTAATAAATTCCTTTGTTGGCATATACCATACCTAAAAAATGAGAACAGGATAACGACGGGCCTTTTACCGATGTTTGGTGAAAAGAGAAGAAAAATATCGAGGAATGAATGACTAATAAAGCTTTATTTGGTTGATAGACATTGACAAGGACACGCAATATAGTTGAGCTGCCAAAAAGCGTGAAGCCTTTTTCGTTGTCCCAAACAGCCCCTAACCCCATTTTTGTAGTTTTGTATATCCCCAGAATCCTCTCCTCTTCTCTTCCTTACGACTGAGTCTCACTCTTTTCTTTCTCTTATCTTCTCAACTGTCTATCTGCTTGCCTTTGCTGACCTGATAATATTCGCCTATGCACTACGTTGTTTGCTACTTCTGATTCGAACCTCAGTTTCTCAGGTAATGAATATGTTTGTTTTGAAATCTTAGCATTTGCGGGTGTTGATGGACTGTGTTGTGTTGTTGTTTTCTGATTGAGCCAGTCGAAGGGAAGAGGAGTGTTTGTATCAAATCTACCTAGTTTGCGGTTACAAATGGCGTTGGAAGAGGACGATTTGAAGAAGAAAATAACTATCGGAGTCTGTGTAATGGAAAAGAAGGTGAAGTGCGGCTCCGAGGTTTTTGTTTCTTTTGTCTTCAGTTTTTCTACCTCACGCCACCGTGCATCGTTAGCTAAAACACCATGGATGCTGCTGGTTCTCGTTAACTTGTGATTTATATTTTGTTTTTGGGTTTGGCTTGGCTCGTTCAGGCTTTTTCAGGACCCATGTTGCAGATTTTAGAGAGGTTACAGGCGTTTGGAGAATTTGAGGTGATTGGCTGGTTGCCAGTTTTTTCTAAATCCTGCAAGCCTTTGCACGGCAATGTTATGGTGTTGATATGTTTACAGAGAGCAGTGTAGCGTAGTTACTTGTTGTTCTGCTATCATTTTGTGTAACAGTTGAAATTTTGTTTTCGAACGGTGCAGATAGTTCATTTTGGTGATAAAGTGATCCTTGAAGATCCTATTGAGAGGTGAAGTTTGGAATCAGAGTTTAATATTGATGCATATTTTCATTATTATGTTCAGTTGCCAGTTTTTCAATAGCGTATGATACTGGGGCCGATGCCGTGATTTTAACCTGTGGTTTAATGGCAGTACATGAACTGGTTGTCTAATTTGGTAATAGATTTGAGTTATTTTAACTGCAGCTGGCCTATATGTGAATGCCTGATCGCCTTCTATTCATCTGGCTATCCTTTGCAGAGGGCTGAAGCTTATGCTGCGCTTAGGAAGTAAGTTTACATCTTGTTATACTTACTTAGTCAATATATTTCTTTTTCTGTCTTTTTACATTTTCCGAGCCTCTTTGGCATACCCGTAGAATGAGCTCTACGCCCTTGTCATGGTGACATGATCACATCATTATGTGTGTCAGGTCCTCCGTCCTCGCCATCATAATCATCATCTTGTTATTTTCTTCTGACAACTAATCTTAATGTACCAGTTGGTAGTGACAATTTCAGAGTAAGCCTCAAAGATTTAACTCCTGAGGGAGAAAAAAGAAGAAAAGAGAAAAGGAAGAAAGAAAGAAGATAAAAAAAAAACGAAAGAGAAGTGTTAGAATCAAAATTAAAATACTTCATTCTGTGGATGTTGTCTGCACAGTGAAACTCATTAAAGAGAATGCATTAATGAACTGTTCAGATATTTGCTTCCAATAATTTATGTGGTGGGCTTAGGCTCAACCATTTTTT